GTTTTTAGATCTGCTCCCATAGTCACCAAAGAGAGAAAGACATGTACACTCATGTACCAACCCACAACAAAACCCACACAGGCAGAGCTGAGGAGCTCTCACCAGGAAGCTGACTTACCCTAAACCACTCCGCTATTTCTCGTCACACTACACTGTCACTGCTGCCTCCGGATGAGATAGACCCAGCTGCCAGGACTAATTTGGCCTGCATGCGCAGTGGTCTCTGGTTACCTTGAGGTTTTTGTTTTTTTTTTTTTTTCTTCTCAATAATATAATTGTTCTAATCTGCTAAAATAGAAGTCTATCTGAAAAAGCCAAGAGCACAGAACACCACTCTTCTTTTTTTCTTCGCCTATCTCAACTAGAATAGTTGACTTCCGTAACATTTATTTCCAGCAGCCGCTTTCAGCTTCCTGTGTCTGGTGAGTTCTTTGCGTTTTCTTTTTTTTTTTTATAAATGTCTATAAATGTGAATTGATATTCCAAATCAAATTCTGTATCTTTAGTTTTATTAATACATTTGTGAAATTGACTTACATAATTGGTTTTACTTTTAAGACCATCTATTAAATACACAGTATTGTGATATCCTGTTAAACAGCGGTCTAATCCTGCCCCAGGTTGTTTATCTCCTGGATTTTCATTTGTTCCAAAGTTTGTTTCTGCTTTGGCGTAAAAAGGCCTTGTGTAAAAGTAGAAAGAGGGGTGTGACGGGCTGTGCCGTGCCAGTATTTTCCATGTTAACTGTTGTAAGAAAAAAGAGAGAAAATGGGTTTACTCTAAAAATGGTGGGTCTGGTTCCAATCTGCTTTGCTGTTCTATGAACTACGAACCCAGGAGAGACAGGCTTGTGTAAACCTGCTACACCTCAAAGGATGGCTTTCTTCCCCATTTGTGAAGTACGTCATGGTTATGGGAAAACTTCATCTTAAATGTTGCCAAGTAAATGTAGGTGAAGATTTTATGATGGGAATTTGAGAAAGGTGAAATTTAGGTTCTTAGGACTGAAGTGAGAGTCGAAGTACTTTTAATCTGCCAACGTATCTGTCACTGGCTCTGGTTCCAGCAGCTGCCTGGCCCCGCTGGGTCTAACAAGTGCCTCTGCCACCTTCTGAGATGGAAGGGCTTCGTTTGACGTCTAAATGGCCGCGGCTGTAACTCTTTGCTTTCGTCTCACCCCCATGGCTTCTCCTCTGCTTTCTGAACCAACCGTGTCATGCTCACGGTGGGGGATTCCCTTAGAGAGCAGCATGTGTGTGTGTGTTCATGTGTGCACATCTGTGCACACCCATTTCTAGATTCTGCTTACAAAACCGGCATCTTACGATGCTCTAGCGGTGGCAGGATGGTCTTGTTACATTGCAGTGAGAGGTAGTTAATCTAAAAGGTGAATGAGGAGGAAGCACACAGAGGCCGGAACCATCCCTCTGACACAGGTCCCCGCAAAAAATCTGAATGTGGCTTTAAGATTCTCTAACTTCTTCTTTCAGCCGTGTTTCCACCTGTGGATGGGGCGGGAGTGGGGCTGTGGCATCTGGAGGAGGCCAGCTTTAACATGGGATTTATCCTGAAGAAAATACTTGCAGAGGAAAAAGGTAGGATGAACGAGATTAGGTAGTTGTTACACAAGCAGATCTGTCAGTCCATGCCCGTCTCCTGCTGCTGCAAGAATAAGGTGGGATTGTGCACTGCATCGTGCTGCTTTGTATTTCACATTTCCAAACCCCACCGTTTAGAATCAGTGGACCTTTACAAATGTTCCAGTAGAAAAGACCATACATGTATACTTAACTTGACTTTAGAACAGCATTTAATCTCATTTTTCAGAGACAGCTCCAAAGATGGATCACACAAGTGAAGTCCAATTTACCACTGTGTAAAGTGTGTACAACTTGATGCAAATACCATATCTGAGACTTGGGCAGTAACTGCAGGGCAGAAAGGCCCCACGTGCACTTGCTTCCTGCTAAATCGAGAGAGTAGGCCTTGCTGGGGCATAATAGCAAGCTTTATATTCACTATATTAGGTGCTACAAACCAGAAAAAATAGTAGTTTTGTATTTGTAGAGAATCTATGTTTTTATAAGTAATCTGTACCTGCTATCTAAGTTCCAGAGCAAAGAATTAAAATTTTTAAAAATGGACTTGTCCTCATGTATAGCCAGACACATTGTCCATCGGCAGGGCAAAGTGGCTGTAAACTACTGTCATTTAATCCTGTTTTAAGGGAATTTTACCGTGCCGAAGCAGTGTGAGATGGCCTCATGGCAGAAGAGCATCAGGCCTCACATGATTCCCTATACTTCGGAAGACAGTCCCTATAGCTACATGCAGCACAGTAAAGCCATGAAGTTGAAGCTATAGTTCCAGAAAGTTACTAAAATACTTTTCCAGCCTGGTGACCAGCTTTCTCAAGAAAATGTTTATATGTAGAAGTTTAACAGATTCAGTCTCAGCTCCTCCGTTGGGAGTGTGAATTTGGGGATGAAATGAAAGCACTCTCCATGCTGCATAAACCCAAGCAACCAAGAGGTTGATTTTAAAGTCACATGAGCTGGTAACAGCTGCCAGTGCCAGTGATATCAGGGAGGCGATCTCTTGTACAGCGAGGGGCAAGCCATATAAATCCTTAAAGATGTCAGTGGACGCTTTGCGGTAGTCCCAGAGCACACAGGAAACGAGCAGACATTGTGGTGGCAGCCTTGCAGGCTGCGCCTCTGGCCCGTCTTGTAGAGCAGCAGGGCTGCACCACCAGAAGTCCTGAGGAGCTTTTCTTGGTGGCACTTTCTGATAACCAGCTGGGAGGACGCCCTGGCAGAGAGATGAAATTCTGCTGTTTCTCCTCTTGCTTTTGCTGTGCAGCTCTAGATGCATAGCAGCAGCTGCGTTAGGAGCTTTAAATGAAGAAGATTTTCAATGGAAAATGCCTCTTCTGCCTAAAGCAAACACCCCCATTTTCTCTGTAAAATGTTGGTGCTGTGATTCTGTAGTTTTCATTAAGAAACAGTCGGATGTTACTGAATGCACCGTTGAAGTGATTAATTCAATTTGGCATTGACCATGCAATGAAATATTGCAGAATTTTTTATAATGCTTTTGATTACGGTTTGAAAAGAAATTCACGAAGCAACTGTGAAACTTGCCTTTTTCCAAAGTCTTAATGGGACGTTTCAGGCATCATGCTACACAGCTTAACATAATTTCCAAATTAGGTTCTCACTTTTTGGCCAGCGGTGTGTGGTTTTATTAAATCATCAGTTTTTAAATGTTTCCATCCTATGAGCACAGCTTACAGCTGAAAAATGTCTTGGGATAATCCCAGCGCAGTAATTAAGAAAGGAAGTTGGCTGCAGCTGTCTCAAGCCCAATATTAAAGCATTATGGCTTTAAAATACTGGACAGGATCACACAAATACAACAAAGCGATGTAACAACAAAATTTGTGGGCTGTAGCCTGCCATTAGCACTCCTCCACAAAACCAAATACAGTTTCATACGCGCTCAGCAGAATTTAGTTATGCTTCAGTTCTTTTGTCAGTGAAGAACTGGAAAGCCTTCCTAATCCACCAAAAGTGTTGGTCCACAGTGGAAGGGGAGAATTTTGGAGCCAGCAAAACCTCTGTAATGCAGCAGTGAGCGTCAGCACTGGAAGTCATAGGTTCAAAACCTTGGTGTATCAGGTCTAAAATGAGCTGCTGCCAACGTAGCAGGGAGCAACAGTCCTATAAGTGTGAATTCCTAAGGGATGAGGGTGGGGCTGAACTTGGCATGCTTGCTTTTACCTGCCGAAATGTGTGAACCCACTGGAAACCACACGTGGATTCTGCTATGGTTTGGGGTTTTCCCCAACAGGGGGGCTGTGGTGACCTATCGCATAGGAAAGACCCAGCATGTGCCGGAAAGGGAACGAACACCTCTCCTGGCAGAAGCCAGCACGAAGGGTTGTGGTTACTTAGCGTGGATGATGCCGCCTGTCACACACAAGTGTGAGCGGGGAGTGCCCGCCTCCATAACTGACACTTGCCCGGTTTGAGATTGCTGTACCATCTGGTGATTCCTCTTTTCCTCATGAGTGACAGTGAGTTGCTTTTGAAGGTCATCCGGGTTTATCTCAAACTGCAGATAGGACTGGCTCTCCTAATAGAAAAGTGTGAGACCAAGACCCCTACGTAGTTAGGGGACTGTTTTGGTTGTCTCCTGTGCACATGGGCACTGAAAGAATATGAAACCTCTCACTCTAGCGAGAAAAGCGTTCTTTCCTTTTGTCAATAGATGTGCCAGTGGACACTCAGTTTGCAACTTGCCTTTTTTTTCTTTAAATGACTGTGCTTAAAAACCAGTAAAGTCTTTAGAGTTCAAAGTTATTGAACTAATGACATACTGAATTATCTATTAACTTCCTCTGTGTGCTTATGTTTTTCTCATTACAAAAAAAATTATAAAACATCTGTCTTAAAAAATGCCTCATGTAATTTCTTTTGTTCCCATCAATTTAAATGCAGGTTTTAAAATTCATGCATCTTTCAGTGGAGTTTTAATTCTGGATGAAAAGCCGTTGGGTAAAATATCTCTGAGTTTGAATCAAGTCTGCCAGGATTAAAAAATAAAGCATGGGAAATGTTCTCATAATGTTCAAACGTAGCTCTCCTAAAATATCTTTCTTTTCATGTGTGTGATCATTTTCATGTAAAATATGCAAAAATCAAGAAAATCAAGGAAAACTTTCTATGCTTCCCGCTGAAAAACAGAAACTCTGCATTAAGATTTACTGTAGCGTGGGGATTTGCGTGATCTTTAAACCATCTGAAAGACAAATAGATGTCAGCTTTAAGTATCTGAAATGGCTCCTCAAAATACTGAAGAATGGAGGATTTATATATTGCTTTTGGTGGTAAAGAGTTTTCTCCTCTTAACCTATTCCCTATGACCCAGTGCTGCCTGCAATGTTACATGGTTTACATAAAAGTGACAAGAGATTAAGGTTATACTGGAATCGGAGAAAAGTGAAGGAAAGCAGGCCTTGAAATAAATATTCTGCTCTGGCGTATGCTTGGTGTAAGATATAAATCAATGTAAAATCTGAACTACCAGGTACAGCTTGTGCTAATTTCAGAAAAAAATAAAATCTTGAAATTGGGCTTTAATTGTAAATAAGCATAGGACATAGGCAATTACATGTAGGCAAGTAGGCGTGCCCATTCATTGTGTTTAAGTTAATTTACTACAACTAAAGGATTCTAAGGATGCTACATAGTGAGAAAAAATATTTTCCTACCTGTCTTGTAAATACATATTATGTGTTATTTTATCCTTTGCTGCTTACAGTGCGTGAATACTGAGTTGTGGGACAGATTGTGGAAGGCAACTCCTTTTTTAATTTATAAAACAAATTGAAAGGATAAAGACCTTAAATCAACAAATGCAGGAAAAGTTCCGATAATTGTATGTTTCATATTGCACCTTCTACTTGTAAAGGGATTGAAATTATTTCCAGGCAAGCCCTCTGAATTTTTAACATTTTAATGTAGATGCGTGCACACACAAAATTTAGGAATGAACTTAAAAAGGTGGCAGTTTCCCTCTGGCTGAAATTGAGACTATGGTTTTGAACCGTCTCATATATACAGAGACAAGAAAAAGCTTTTTGTTGCTGGCAGTTCTAAGGGGAAAAGCTAAAACTGTCAGCCAGTTTCTCAGTGTAATTAAATAAATAACCAAATTATTGTTGCTTACTTTCTCATTAACTCGAGAAGTTTAACATTCATCACAGCAAAACTGAACAGTGACGTGCAGTAAATAGGCATTCTTCCCAAATTAAAGAAAAAATCAACATGTTTTAGCAAGAAGTGGTTATTCTGAACTATTTGATTAACTGAAGCATCATTATTTGCTGCTCAGAATACCTCTACATTTAACACATTTTATTCCTATCACAAAATACGCAAACATAATCTTCCATCAAACACTGGATAATTCTGTTCTAACTAATATTTTCCTCGTCCGCCTTTACCTCCCACTGAAATCAAACTTATGCAAATACATAACTTCATGAACATGGAGAACCATCTTCTCCCCACCCTGAGGTTAGGGGGCAGAAGATCTGGGCTTGAGAGTCTCCTTATTTTGTGGTAGGCCTCTTATGAAGCCAGGGAAAAGTTAAACCTGAATAGATTTCTGAAAGTAACCCTGGAGGTCTTGCAAGGGATCTGTGGAGGGCAGTGGAGAAATGGTAGGACAATTTTTTAAAGACTTTTTAACACTGGGGAGGCTGTTACATCACCTGCATGGTTCATATATTAGCTATACTGTTAATACTGACTTCTTGTTAGCGTTTAAGATCAGGTACCGTGCAGACAAGGGAGACGAGCGCGGACCTACCCCAGGTTGGAGCCGAAACACCCTGCAGGCAGCCCTCTCCCCTACAGTGGGCTCTACACAGGCTCCGAAAGAGAGGAAGCCCTTTCGGCAGTAAATGCAAGAGCGTACATGGAGTTGCCAGGTTGTTAGTTTTAACATTTTACCAAGTTACACGTCTGGGGGATTTGATATAAATCCATGCATCTCCTTAAAAACAAATCATTGTAACATATGGTAA